GTCGTCATTAAATTGGTCAAATTTGATTTTCACACGTTATCCCGCGCACTGTGTGTTTGGAAAAATTTTTGTTTGTAGACAAAAACATAATATAGTAAGAATGGGTGTAATGAAATCATAATTATATTATGAATTTTGTTTGGGTCCCGTAAAGCTGAATTCGTTTTCAAAACTTTTGTTCGTTGTGTTCTCTTTCATGAAACGTGTATATTATTATGATGTACCTACCTATTGCATGTGTGACGGTTATTATAGACATATAGGTACATTAATATGTTTAATTGATTGTTTTCGGTCGTTGGAGCGGTTACAGTTTTTTTTCCACACATGACTATATTATTATTACTTTATATTGCAATACAATAAATGTACAAAACCTACGTAAATCATTTTTTTTTAAAATTTATTTATAATTGAAAATAAATGTAATTCATTAGTTACCCGTATTTATTTAAATGTTATCGATTTTGCACAACGGGGATTGGAGATATCGGCTATCAGATGCCATAAAATAAATAAGTTTATAGAATAAGATTCGGTCACATAATAGTTATAGCGATATTTTTTATTAAAATGCTTCATTCAACAGTAATTTCTCAAAAACGATTTACTAATGCACTATATGTTTGTTCTCGAAATATTGCATGAATTATTAGTGTGACCAAAATATATCTCTCTAAAAAGTAAAAAAAAAAAAATTGCGTTCACTTGGTGGTAGCAAAAGTTTACAATTTTTGATTTTAAACGAAATTAATGAAGGTAGTACGAGAACATGTTCAAATGTAGTTTGTCATATTTCGCAAAGTGTAATGCGGTAAACTTCTTTAGACCATTTCAAGTATTCACGCACCTAAAACGTATGCAAGCGACGAACAAGTTTCTTTCGCTTGGGGCACTTTCCTCCCCCCCCCCCCCACAACGCTTAACTCTCATTTGTACCATTCGACAAAACTTCGTTAGGGGAAATCAGCAAATCGTCGACCGTGTTTTTGGCAACGACACGACTGAGAGATTCGGCATAGTTACTTAAAACGAATTCTTGTACGAAAAGTACTTATACCTCGATGACGAATCTTCTTCTATTAAAACATTCCAAACGTAAAATGATTCGGATTCAACTTTAAATTACGTTATACGACCCGTGGTTTTAATACGTTTCAGATGAAACTTTTGTGCAACATATTAAATGAAAATATTTCAATACCATTTCTATTTAAAATATTTTTTAAGTCGCCAATCAGCAGGAAAATCAAAATGAAAGAAAAGACTGCTAATAACCGTAATAGATCCAACCCCGCTGCCATAATCTAGTTGTAATATAATATTATTTCGCACACTCGATTTATGATTATAATTACAATACAATTATTTATACAACATTAAACTGGTATATTGTTCGAAAATAGAATAATATTACAAAACCACATAATTATAGCTATAGACTGTTTTTTTATTTGTATTCCAGAAATTGCTATTCGTTTCATTAATAGCAAAAATTAGAATTAACATTTGAATACTACATGTTTATATCGTAAGATTTTCTGAACAAAAATAGGTATTGTTAATACACAATGGGAACACGTTAAAATGTTTGCACAAAGGGCTCGGACTAATGGTACAGTGTTTAATAATAATAACAATAATTTCTACTTTATTCAAATGCAAATATAATAATGAATTTCAAAAATCCACCCTCCGGATTAAATTCCACTTATGTACAGTGCGCACCGTACAGTGTATTATGGGGGGATGGGTCTGAGCATTGTACGTTAACGAGAACGGTCCGGATAAATTTTCGCTATAAATTTGTAAGCCCCCGTTGATAACATAAAACAAATTTTATGTTTTTTCAATTCCTACATCAATAAATCATCATAAAAATGAAACACACGTTATTTATGTAGACGAGCAACAACGGTAATTACATTTCGCTATTATTAGTTATATTATTATGTTTTGTAATAATTTTGCTCCGGTTCCGGATGTAGAATATTGCTCGCGGGTTTGTTCGTTTGGACGAGCAAATAAGCGCCATGGACACTATGCACCCTACACAGGGTGGAGGGTGGTAAAAAAAGTTTCCATTTTCCGCAAACCGTTTCCTATCGGACGAATTACGGAGAGGAGCTCGACTCTAATGTCATTGCTGTTCGGTGTGAGTGTATACACTATACACACATATATATGTATATATATATATATATATATATACATAGGTACAGGAATGATGGACATGGTATATATAGTGAGGTCGTTACATTATATCATTACGGCGGAGAAGCGGATAGAAGCCACATAGGTTTAAATGTTTAAAGACGTATTGGCCGTTTTATGGATTTTCGGTACCCAACATTCCTGAACCGACCAACATTATAGCGTCCGTAATTCTAAAAGGGTTGACCACATAAAATATTGCTGTGTGTACCCATCAAAGTATCAGCGTAGTATTGGGATCATTACGTACCTACATTGCTGCTGCTGGCCATAAGTTATTATTTTAATTACGATTTATGGTGGTTCGGTGCGATGCGACGACCTCGGGGGATTTAAACTTGTTTAGAAAAATATACGAGTATGGTACAGTAACATTGTTTTTTTTTCACCTTTGGTGCACTGTACGAATTTAATTCAATAAAAGTTCAAAATAAATGGCCTCAGGTGAGTGAAAAGTCGGGTTTTCTCTTTATCATATTTTTGGGTTTTTTTTTTACCATTTACATTATATGTATATATGTACATTTTTTTTTATAATATGTATAATGTAATATTAATAACGATAAATGAGACCAGTGCAGCTTTTGAAATTTATGACCTTTGACCCTTTCGCCGTACATGCGCGTAAATACTGAAATTTTCATCTCCCACTTCTCGCTTCCGCCATATTCTCCAAACGAGGTTAAACAGGACTTGTGATTTATGCCTAGCAATTACATGCGGTCAAAGGCTCACCGGGACGGGGAATGCAATTAGGTTGCACCGTTGATGTACGACCGAAGCGAGAATTTTGAAGATTTTAATTTGCCACAATTGCTTCACCGTGTAAATGAGAGCGCCGTTAATTTCGGGATGTTCTTTCAACTTGAAATTAGTTCGAAACGCCGGGAACACCACCTCCTCCTGTTCCCCACCCCGGAGGCTCCCTATTACTTGTTATTCACCGTCTCCTTGTCAGGCATTTTTTTAACTGAAAAGTTATTAGCATTAATAACTATTTAAATATCCCCTCAGGTAAATAAATAATTTCCTTAAAACAATTCCCAACGAAAAGCAACGAGGATATTAAAACAAAAACGGATATTAAGACTACTATAGGTACCTATAGTTTTTTTTTTAATTATAAAAATATATTTCTAAAATTTGAAACGTATAACAAATGAATAATAAAAAAAAAAAAAGTTTAATTGAAATAATTTGACAAGAAAAGGGCATTCGTTTTTTATACAACGTGCATTCGTCTGTTACAATACAATTAAATTGATACGAGTACAGTACCTACTACTATAGTAAGTTATTTATACGTATAACACATCATATATATATATTTTATGTCAGTCTGTACTCAGTTGTATAGTTTCTTTATTCCGATATTCGTTCAGAAAATAATATTGGGTTCATGATATACCATTCATAATAATAGCTGTTTATTTTACATTTTACTAGGAATCATAATATAAATAATGTTCGTATACTTTTAAAATGTATACAACATTTCTAGGTAAAAAAAACAATATACATCGTACCTATATAATACTAGGTAAATAGTGTGAAATGTGATCCAAATAATGGCCTCGAGCCATTTGTCAATTTCGAAAAATAACCCAAACCATCAAATATTTATCAAAAGATTTGAGGATAAAACACAGTATACATACAAGAATGTTTGAAGGTATGCACTAGTTGGTACTATATACACTAAATGTTTAAGTACCATAAGTAGACGTAACAAACTTCATATAATTACGTAGGTTTATTATTATTTTCAATACATGCTAGTATATTTATGGCTTTCTATTTAATTATGAGCTTATTTAATTTATTGAAACTAATACTTTCGATTATGTATTATGAACATGTTATAATATAACCCTAAACATTTCCTTTTTAAGTTTTAATCAACTTGGACCCATAAAACGGTATTAACATGGTATTGTGTGGGAGAAATTAATATTATAAATTAGTAGGTAGTCAATATTCAGTATAAGACAGTATAAGTATACGTAATTTGCAAAGGTTTTTAAGATCTTGAAAGTATTAAGGTACCTACTTGATATTTCGGATATTATGCAACTATATTACCTAAAATAATTTTATCCGTTGTATTAATTGGCAAAGATTCGAAAATTTAATTTATTAGTATTATTAGATTATTTTCAATACATTAATCTTTGTAGTGTATTTTAAGTACCCATATTTATTATTAATTTAACAATTCAAAATAGTTTTAATAGTTTGAGTGAAAAACACTCAGGATAATTGTATAACAATCGTTTTTGCGTGTTTAATAAAAGTGTTTGGATGCTTAAGACATTGCAATGTTCTAATTTTTTTATTTGGCCAATACTATTTCTGTATTCTGATATTAGCGAAAGATAAGTGATATTATTAGAGGTGTGCGTATTAATAAGTATTTGTCAAAAGCTGTTTTGAAGCATTTCAATCAATATTGAAATACGAATTCGAGGATTAAATATAGACGAGCCTAAAACTTTTATAATACCCAATAAGTATATAATTATAATATGCAAAGTGTTGTTCTAAGTCGTTTTAAGCACATAGTTTATGAAGTAGGTAATTAAATTATATATTATATTTTAGTCAAGTACTTTTTGCAACAATTCGACGACAACGAGTGGTTGCACACATTCTTCGTCGATCTTCCTTATGGTATATAGGTGCAATTATTTGACATTGTTTTAATCGAGTGATGAGTTCTCAATGTAAAAATAGTTAGGTTATTAACCAATACGAACGTCAAGGAATAATTAACAGTTTGTACGTACCTTGCAGCTGGAGTGGCTGATGTTGCTCAGGTTCAGCCGGTACACGTGATCCCTGAAAACCAAATCAACCAACATTATATATATAATTAATTAATTAACGAAGTATACGGAGGGCGGGAGCACTAAGGTGATTAGTACTGTAATAGACAAGGGCCTGTCACTATTTAGACGATCGAAAAGTTTTCAGCCCCGCAGTGAACTGTCAGGAGGCAGAACGCGAGTGGGTCTACCGCCGACTTCCGTGTGTGTGTGCGTGCCGCGGACTTTGGAGTATTGACCGGGTATGGGCGAGGGGGCGACAGAGAAATGATTAAACTTTAGAATTAATTTAGGATCAGAATTTATGTACACATATATACATAATATAATATGTACACGCCAATCCCAGAGAGAATGCAATTGAACATGTGCCGCCGAGCTTATTACGGCGTATATTCGGAATGTTTGTTTGGCATAACGCACTGCGCACACACGTCACGAGCAAGATGACGATAATAATTATAATAATAATAATAATATGATAATGCTAAAAAGAGACGGACGTTTGGAGTATCAAACAGTTAAGTTTTGTCGAAATATACGCATAATATAGGTACGCGGAAATGACGTTCGCGCCAGTATTGTGCGAAATGTTTATTATTACGATTGTATTATATCGTCTAGGGTGTCAACGTTACGATGACGACGATGCATGATGATGATGATGATGATGATAATAATATGCTCAAAATGTGTTTATTCCGCGTGAAGGTTCGTCACGTCGAGTCGAAATTCGCAATAACTTGGAGTGCATACGATAATACGTGGTTAGATATTGGATAGGCGAGGAGTTCTGTATTTTATTTTTTTCGACCGTCTCATTCAGGAAATAAAAACATTTTTTTTTTCAGGCATTCAATAGAGAGTCGACCATATTTTCAATTTGTTTTCGATATTCTAATATAATTACGTTCGACTATCGTTGGGTAGATAACTATTATTTATATAATGTCCTAACACGTTCGGTGCACATAATTAGCCAGTTAATAATAATATGAATGATAAAAGGAGCGCAAAACTAATTAAAATATTGCTGGTAGGTTGTGGTTTGGGCGAGTGTGTTTGCCCATTTAAGTGTAAAAAAAAAAAAATGTAATCCTCTCCCTAGAAAATTCAACTAAACCTCTGCATGTTCGTATATTATACACTCGGTGTCCTTGGGTAGTTTCTCGTCTCGGGAAATACGATCGGTATTATAAAACTTATGTTTCAGGCAAACGTACCACGCGGGCTAAGAACCGTAAACCGCAGACTCTGTGCACACGATTATCGTGTTCCCGAATACATTAAAATAGAAGGCCGAAATGGTATTAAATACGCACACCCTTTGAACGAAGGGATGTTCGCGGTGGCTCAAGTACGGTGGATAATGATCATAGATGTTAGCGGTGGTCAAAGGATAATATTATTTGTCGTGTCGGATGCACACCGTCGTCATAGGTCGAACGTGTTTGTTAAAAAACGTGTCGTACTACTCGACGGACACAAATGTTTAAATGAAACAAATGTACGACAACGGTGTTCGATCGACTTACAGAAAATATCTCCCACTCCATTAGTTGGCAACTTGAAGGTTTTCCGATCGTATTGTTTATTTCCGTGTTATATGGCACACTTATATTGGCTATATGGCAAAGTGAACGTGTGTGTTTGATAGTTTTTCCGAATAAAAGCCTCGCAGCAAACCATCGGACGATTTTCCGACACGGCGTCACCGGACAACTAGCAATATTATTGTTGTCCATCGATTATTGTACGGACTACGTAGGCCTATGTATTATATTAAACTACAATATATTAACGGTGTTAGTTCAGAATACTTCATTAGACATCTTACGGATCTGGTATGATCATAGTTGTTGCAACCTACGTGCAATAGCTTTAAACGGAGATGGATTTTATGTGCTTAAATTTTTTTTTTTGTAAACAAAAGACTTGTTGTAGGTACAAAGAATAAAATTATGGAATTAAGTTTTTTTTCGCAATTTTAAGGTATCCATGCATTAAAAAAAAAAATATTTAATATTATTAAACTATCGATTTACGAAACGGTACAAAAAAAATGAATCAAGCAACAAATATTTGCAACAATATTCGTATAGTTAAAATAATTTATTAATAAAACATAAAAATAAAATCACTGCGAACTTATAATAAAATTTAGAAAAAATAATATTAGTTTTTCTTTATGACTTTATCTACCTATGTTTATATTCATTTATTACACAATTTTTATAAACCATAAGTATCTCAAAAATATTCAAAATACAATTTGTACCTATACAACATGAAAATAGCCAATAACAATAAACAAAGGTAGGTTTAACATCGTTTATTAAATTTGATAATTGGCTTTAAATTTGAAACGACAATACAACATTATAGGTGGTGCCGATGCGAACCGAGCGAGATGAGTGTTCAACACCCTGTTACTGAAAAATAATCTGCAGCAGTCCTTACTTTTTCAAGTGTGACATAATTGGAGCAAAAAAAAAAAAAAAATACGACAATATACAATAATATATTAATTTTAAACCTTAATATAATGGAGAGGTAGGTAATTGTACGTCTCGTCACAACAGCACAATACGGCTCAGGTTATTTTGATTTAATTTGCGCGTTCGGTCGTGAAGCAATTTTTACCGCGTTTCAATTAAAAAACAAATACTCGTGTAATATTTTCGATCGAGAGTTATTTTATTTCACGAACGATTTCTTTTATGCCCCACGGGGGTTAACGCAGTAGTCTCGCCCCCGGTATACACATTGCCGCAGCGGAGATCAATATCCAGCCAGATTACCATTACTTTCATACCACGGTGCCGGCGTTGACTTTTTATTTAATTATAAATTTTTTCGTCTACCCAACCGTGCGTTAATTTCATCTCGAGCGCCCAGTGGGTGCCCCGTCGCCTTGGGTGCGGGACGACGGGAGCGGTACAAATTGACGGGGAATTTTTCGTCCCAATAATTCGGTTGCGGGCGGGCTGAGCGAGCGGCAGTGTGGGTGGAAGGACGGCTTTTTAAAAACAGCCTTTAGAATGTCATAACGAAACGGCGTATAAATCAGCTGCAGACCCCTACAACAAGCCCACCCCAGTCCTGTATAGAGGCGGCGTATATATAATATTATATAGTGAGCACTGTGCCGCTATTCTTCTGCGGCGGCGAGATATCGAACCGGAACGCGCCAATCGTCGAGGTACGACAACACAGTGACGGGGTGGCAGACGGAGCAGAGAGACTGAGAGAGAGAGAGAGAGAGAGAGAGAGAGAATTGAAGTATATATATTCTTTGTGTGTGTGTGTGTGTGTGTGTGTGTGTGTGTATTATAGCAGCAGTGGAAGAGACAAGAGGAGAAGCGGGGGAGGGCGACTGTTTAATTTCACGGTTCGACTGGCAAACTCTATGCTATTTACTATATATATATATAAATATAATGTATACGAGTGTGCGTTTGTTTGTGTGTGTGGCTCGTTATTTAGTTCGCAAAACAAACATACGAGATGGCAATGATGAGCCGCGGAACTTGCAGCGGGGATACCGCGGTTACGGTTTGGTTTTTTTGCCCTCCCCGTTTGTTTGGTTTTTACCATGCGCCGCCGTGGTACTCTCGTCGGCGCGGCGAGTGCGAGTGCGAAGAAGAGTCTATCGAAACTTAATATATATAGATTCGCTCTAATTCTCATTAATTAACAATGACGAGGGTGACGGCGACGACGTCGACAACAACGACATCGCTCGGTAGTCGTCCGTTCTTAATGATAGTTAATGCCCTCGGAAATACATCCGTTTATCTTGAAAACTCTTTTTAATGCATACCGGTTTAATGAAGTTTATAACAACCCGAAATCAAACTTCCATAATTTGTTATTGATTTCGTAATTCGATAAAAATATAAGCCTCTAATAAATACGGCTTGACATTTTTCCCTTGATTATAATTATGTACCTAAATTGTGTGAGTTAAAAGTGTTTGTAACCAATAAAATAATATGTTTCATACAAAAATGTGTAACATTTATGTAATTTAATTTGCGTGTTAATTAAATCTGTACGAGTAAACAATCCTTAGCAAAATTTAATTTACATATTATGAATTGTACAACATTTATATTAAAATACATATTAGTAAGTAGTAAAATAATTTGTTTTAACTAATATTAATATAATATTATCGAAGCTAATAATATTGTTTGTAAATCGAACAGTAAATACTGAACAGAGATTGTTTTTCTAAATCATGTGCCCATAAATATACAGCAATAATAAATAATAATAGTATAACATCATGCATTTATGCTAGTCGATAGATCAAACCTATTTCTATCTATTGATGCACGCTTATATTTTATTGTTCATCTCAATGATATTTATACACGATTCGAATAGTTCATAAACGTTTGGACTTTTTGCAAACCATTAAATCGATGGTTTGTTTTGCACAAACAACAAAAAAAATTATTTGTATTGGGCACAATATTTTAATATGATTCTATAAGGAAACATCATAAAAAATACGTTGTTTGCTTTAATGGGTTCGTATTACATAAAAACATAATTTTAGATATTAAATTCAGTGTACTTCGATCGAAAATTTCGAAAACAAAAAAAAATATGTATGTAAATATTAAATATAATATTGCACGTGTATTGTTTTTGCGAAGCCAAAGTGCGCAATTTTTAAGTTTTTATGTTTCATTTTTTTTCCTTCGCCGTAAACGTGTTGTGTGTGTATTGGACAATGTGTTCCAAACATGCAAAACTATCTCATTTAAACTCCCAAAACTGGGCTATTACAGTATAAACTTTTATAGTGGTCGGTCGAGAACGGGTAAAAAAAAATATCAAAAGTACGATACCCTTAAGTACCATAAGAAAGCTTTCGAAACAAAAAAAAACTCCATGCACTGTCAATTTGTCATATTTTTAAATTTTCTTGCTTCTCCAAAATCAATAGAAGAACATATCCCACTCGAGTTGATAAGTGTGTGTTTAATGATATAATATATA